GAAAGAAAGTTGTATAAATCTTGAAAAGTATTTACAACATAACTCAATATCTGATATTGATGGTTCGGATTTATATTATGAATTAAAAGTGTTAAGAAAAGTCATACCTTCCGAAATAGATAAAAGAATTGATGTACTTAATCATATAAAAGTTATTGATTCTTATCCTAATACGTCTATATGCTATAGAATAATATTTACAATACATGTAATCGTAGTTTCGGCCGAAAGGAGTTTTTCAAAGTTAAAATTAATAAAAACATATTTACGTTCAACTATGTCACAAGAATGATTAAGTGAATTAGCTATTTTACCAATAAAAAAGATTTATTAGAAGAACTAGAATATGAAGATCAAATTAATACATTTGCATCTATGAAAGCAAGAAAAATAAATTTTACATAGATAAAAAGAAAATTAAAAACAATATTAGGGCCCCATTTTTTGGTTTCGCTTGTGGCCCCAATATCCTAAGATCGGCTCTTGCCTCCCTGTGTAACCTATTTTGAAGCACACTGCACCAATTGGCATTTTACTTGTTGACCAAAGAGTAAAAAAACAAAAAAGCCCAAAGATTTTTTTTCTGTTGGAAAAGCAATAGTGTTTTAACAAATAAAATAGAAAATAAAATATATGTTAATATAATAATTAATAAAAAAAAGAAAAAATAAAGAAAGAAAGAAAGAAAAAAGAAAAAAGAAAAAAGAAAAAAGAAAAAAGATTAAAAGAAAAAAAGAAAAAAGAAAAAAGGAAAAGGAAAAAGAAAAAGGAAAAGGAAAAGAAAAAGAGAAATATTTAAACAAATATATTTATTAAATGCAATAAACTATATGCTAATTATTAAAAAAATGTAAAATAAAACAAATGTTAAATATAATAATAGTTATAAAAAATAAAAACATAAAGTCTTCATCTTCTTCGTCCCTGCCCGACCTCCGCCGCCTTTCTCCAACCCCTCCCCCACCCGCCCACCCTCAACCACTCCACTCATCCAATTCACAACTCAATTCATCCACCATTTAGTCCAAGTCGGAGCCTTACGCCGCTGCTCACCACTCCAATGCCACCACATCTTCAGATCTTCTTCCAATTGAGGCATGCCACGGTGGAGGTGTGCGGCCGGTGGGTAGTGAGATCGAACGGAGAAAATGGAGGCCCAAAAAATGAGTTTTCTCATCGTCGTGTGGCGGCAGCGGTAACGGCGAGATGAGGTTTCTTCGAAGTTTTTGGGCCATGATTGATCAAAATCCTCAGAGAATTGAAGATTGCCATGTTTGGGTGGCTTCTTGAGGAAGATGAAGACGGATGAAGAACGAAAACGCAAGAGAGAGAGAGAGAGAGAGAGAGAGAGAGAGAGAGAGAGAGCTTGGGGGCATATCTGAAAATTCACATGTGAAAATGAAGCAAAAATGGCACGAACACTGCGTGAGAGACACGATTTGTTCTGAGGGGGCTAGATGTTTTATTTGTTTACACAGGGAGGCATGGCTGAGTGTTTTTTTTTTCCATAGGGGTATTTGCCAATTCGCAATTTCATAGGGGTAGTATTTGCAGTTAACTCATAATTATTATTATAAGGTAGAAAAAAAATTATACTCTTGTACTTTTTATTTTGCCTTCATTTTATTTTGAATAAGTAATTAAAATTTTGAAATTATTATAATTTTAATTTCGAAATTACTTTGACAATATCAACATTTTTTTTAATTTGAAAACTTGATATATTTTAAATTTTCGAATAAATTTGGGGAACATAACTTTAGAATATTTATAAAATTTTGAAAACTTCTACAATTTTTAAACAAATCAAATATAATATACTTTTCTGATATTTTTTAATTCTTTTATAATTTTAGCATTTAGAATATGGGTTTAGAGTTTAAAGAATATGTTATTATTGTGAATGTTATTGTTATTGTTATGGTTATTGTTATTGTTATGGTTATTGTTATTGTTGTTATTATTATTATTATTATTATTATTATTATTATTATTATTATTATTATTATTATTATTATTATTATTATTATTATTATTATTATTATTATTATCATCATGCATCCCGTGGGCCCCTGCCCTTTTTTTTTTTTTTTTTTCTTTTCTTCTAATTTCTCTTCCTTATTCTCCTTTCCACATCCTTCCGCCGACTTTCTTTCACCACAGGATAAACCTCTTCTTTTTTTTTTTTTTTTATCGATGAGGATAAACCTCTTCAATGTACGAATGCGTTCTTTGGCTTGTCTACGTCACCTCCTCCAAAAAAAAACCCAAATAAAAAGTTTGGACAAATTCCTTTCCTTATCATCTCACTTCGGTCTGGTGGATTAATTCGCCTTCTTCAGCGATTTGTGGACAAGGCTTTGACGGCGGCCGACAGGCACGTGGTGTTCTCCACAGCGCTACAAGAGTAGGACCGAAAATCGCGTCGGAGTCGGTTTGATTTTGTATACCCTATTCCCCCGTTTTCCTTGCTTTTCATATTCCATAATTGGACCCATAACTCACCTTTGCAGTACATCTCTGATAGATATTGGTGTCTTTATTATGGATACCGAAAAAAGTTGTTTGCATAGTACTGAAATTTCACGCCCTCGTTCCACTGTAGATTGCAATATTGAGGGCATGGCATTTGTAGCTGATTCAGGTAATATCTTAACTGCTTGTTTATTCACCAAAATATGAATTTGCTCTTTGCCTAAGTGGATGTTTTTTACTGCTCGCCGCGCCACTCCAGCATCAATTTGTTTTATCTATGCTTATTGTTCATGTTTTACTTTGGTGATTCGCCTATTCAATTTTAGTGACACATTTTCAAGAGTTCTCCTATCCGCGCGCCGCCAATGTTATTTATGTTGCTTGTCTCAGGATGGGTACATTTTACCCTTGCTTTACTTTCTCCTATCAATATACAGGCAAACTATTGTAGGTTTATCTTCACTCTAGTAGATATGCTTAAAATACAGGTTCATATTGACTGTTATGTTCGTGCATCGATCGGAGCTTCATTTTTCCGTTTTCCCTAAATAATATTTATATTTTCGGAAAAGTATGTTCCGGATCATTAGTTTTCAAATATTAACGATGCATGGTTACTTTTTGAATTTTACTCCCCTATATCAATTTCTTTTTTTAGGTGATATTTCTTAGCAGAGTGTCGGCAGAAAATACTATTTTATTTCGCGATAATGTCCCTTTTGTGATGTAGATCACATTTATTAAAACTAATACTTGGTTCGCTAATTAAGTGCTAGGTTTATTCCTCATGGATAAAAATTCCATATGCATCCTTCATTTGATTACATATATATAAGCGTCTAACTCCTCTAATTTACGCTCCCATATTTTCTTTTTTCTTTTTCTTTCTGCTTCTACCCATGTGAAACGGTGCCGTTTAATAGATTCCTACCAATTAGGTGGCTAAAATAATTTCTTTTCCATTTATTTTGAGGATGTCTGATTGCAATCGGTCATGTTGGTGGGCCCATAGTTGCTTTCTGAATTATTTTCATCCTCCTTCGGGCCTACAATTGCTATGTGTGTGCAGATTTTCTTTTTACTTTTCTACTTTGGTGGGCCCACACGTTTTTTAATTCTTTTTTGCGCACTTCTCCTCACATGACAACAATCTTGTTTGGGCCCAATCTATTTATTTACTTGTTAGTTTAAATATACTCTCTCTCATACACACCCACACACACTCCGAGCCCCAACACAAACGGATTTTTTTTATTCTTTTCTTTCATTTTATTATTTTTTGAGGGAAATTCTATAATGTTGAATTTTTATTGTTTGTTTCTTTTTAGCTACTAAAATGTTGAAGTATAAATCAAATTGATATTTGATGTTCAATTGGGTTATTCGACCCTAGAACTACTACAGTTATTTTTTTTCTATTGATACATTCAATTCGAATTCCCATGGCATTTCCACCTAAAATAAACCTTTATGCACCGCACTTTCATTTCACACGCAGTCAATTAGGCCCCAGCGCAAGGTTATTCAGAAGATTTCAGCAATTATAACAATTATGGTGATCTATAATGTGAATAAATCATTTCGATTTCTCAACTCCATCGTATTTATCACTATAATGTGCCGGCGAAATCAAATGCTATGGAAAAACACAAAGAAATAAGGAACCTATATAATGGGCAAATAGCACCGGGTCTTGCGCGGTGCACGCACTCCTAGTGTGTGTGTGTATATATATATATATATATATATATATATACTAGTAATGTGCACCGCGCAAGGCGCGGTGGATGGTGTCCAGGTTATACGGTGTAGCAGACCTAAATTGATAAGAAGACGGACGAACAAAAAGTGGCATTTGATGTGTTCCTATGACGAAGTAAAACACCAAGTAAAAAAGAATACCTGCCCAGGAACTATAAACAAAAAGGAATGACGAAAGGACGATATAATTTCCAAGATGACGAATGATAACCTGCCCCAGATTGGTAAGAAATCAGTAGAGTAGCAAGCAGCCTTAACTGGAAAATCCTTTCAAAGCCAATGGAAAATTTAGGAAAAAGTGACCAACACTTTTTGTTATATTTCAAATTTGAATTTCACAACAAACACCAAAAACACTTGTTTTCTTCGAAACTCCAGAATAACCAGCCTCATTTGTTCAGAGACTAAAATACCAGATGAACTCGAATTCAATAAAGTACTCAAACAAAGCTAAAGTCAATGAACGAAAAAGAATATAAAGAAAAAAAATTATGCTCATAAATCAGAAGAAATCAAATTTAACAAATTTAAAAACATGCTGCAATTAATGAACAAGAAAAAGGAATATAACGCAAAATTACGTAATATCTAACAATTCAAAGATGTAATCATTTATATAAGTCTTCCAGAGATAACATGTACCCTTACACTATATTATTCCACATTTTTTTGTTCTCCTCCTTCCATTTTAAATTCTTGCATTTCAATATCGTGGATGATTAATTTTATCCTGTAAGAAGTGAATTTCAACTGTAAAACTGGAATAACAAATGAAATAAGTTTCCATATATCAAAACTACACCGTAAAGATGATCGTATTAGAAAGTTGCGACATACATTTACCACACATAAAATAAAAAGATCTTGCCTTGACGAAGCCCTCCGTGTAAGCTACTCCTCAACCCCTCGATTTTTAACTATAGGCTAAAAGAATCATTCAGTAAAAGTAGGGTAATGCTCACAATGTGAAGTTCTACAACTTCCAAAGAAAAAATATGTAGGAGAAGAAATGAAATGAGGTAAGCTTTTAGGAAAATATAGAAGTAAAATGTACAAATTATCCTTTAAAATGGCACCGCCCAAACCAGCAAAGCCCTTTAGTATTCCCACAACGGGACCTTGGCTTTTGGGAAAGTTTTGGACACAGGAAACGAGGGACGCTGTGTTGAGGTATGTCTCGCCGTTCGTACCAATGAAGATAAGGATGCACATCTGCCAGTAAAAGCGATAATCATGTTTCGTTTTTTGTACAAGGCTTCATATATCGTATTACACGTTGTGATTGTAGATTGAATGAAACATCTGACCTTTGATGAGAACAATGGCAAAAACTAAAAAATCAAATGTCTGAAATCTTCTACAATCCTTAAATCCAGCAGATCATATTCATCACATATAGAAAAATAAAAATAAAAATAAAAGCTCCCAGATCAATAATCACCAATTAATCAGCAATCCCTGAATAATAATATGCATATCTCTGGATACATCATATACATTGACCAAAAGTAGTTGCAGACCAATGAATAAAAAAAGGGTAAAAAAATGAAGAATAAAAAAAGAAAGTCACAAAACAGGGGCTCTAGAGGTGACGACAAGCCAAACCCAGCCATAACCAACAAAATTCTAAATAGCCACTAAATTCGGAAACTAATACCCAATTTGTAAGTCTGTAGACGTAAATACGCACCGGTTATTTTCGCCATAGACTGCAAAATGAGTCCTCAAGCCTCCATCTTTTTCTACTGAAATTTACAGCAGACCCAACTGTTCCACCAAATTACAAACACAAAATTAAAGCAATAAAGTACAGCAGAGAAATTGAACAAATAAAAGGACTCATGCCCAACACCAACTTCGATTTTTTTTACAGTAAAAGGACCATAAAAGAAAAGAAAAAAAAATAAAAGACCAAAATAAAATGAACAAATACCTCACTAACATCGGCATCGGAAACTTGGAGGTCCTCGTCGGATGCAACATAAGAGGCGAGGTTGCTGCCCGCGCAAGTGGCAGAAGAGACGGCGAAGGCCGGCGGTAGCAAATTGGAGGAGATAATACCCAAAATTAAACTGTAGAGATGAAAAAGGGCAGAAGGATTTGGGTGATGTCAACGATTGTTGGCAAAGGGAAAGAGGTGGCTCTCAAGCAAGGAAAAAGAAAAAGCGAAAAGAAACAAAATCAAAGCAGGTCAAGCAGGATGATTTAAAGTGGAGAAATAAAGCAAAAAGAAAAGAACGCAGGGTTGTGATTGGGAGGTCAGAACGAAACGTCGCCGTTTCCCGAATAAACGGGCCAAAGAAAAATGGAAAAGAATTGGGGGGGCGGGATTTAGGGGCGATCGACATATATATATACTTAATTAATATATATATATATATATATATATATATATATATATATATATATATATATATATATGGGGTCATTAGCGATAAGCCCCTCATCTCGCTAATAAATGGTGATATGTCCAGCCCTTAAATCTTTCTTTGTGATAAACCCTTAGAAATTTTATTCCCAATACTACCCTTATATCAATTAGCACATTTTGTTCCAATTATTCATTTTTTTGTTTTTTTTTCCTAATTCCTAAAAATCTGCAACCAAATAAAAAATAATAATTTTTATTTATTATTCCGGATATAAGCATTTTTTATTTTTTTATTTTTTTTTTATTTTTTTTTAATATTTTTTTAATAAAAATATTTTTTTTTAAACAAAAAATTGAATTTTTTTTCTCAACAGATTTATTAGGCCGAATGTGACTATATGTGACTATTTCAACTGTAGTCATATTCTTTTTTTATATTGCAGTTTTTTACATTTTTAACTTAAAAAATCCGATTATATTTTGTGGTACAATCCAATCAACATCCACAAAAAAAATCACAATTCAATCTTGTTATTCTAAGTCAACTTGAAACGATAAGATAAAACATATTCGAATATGACTACAGCCATATTCAACAATAGTCATATTCGAATATGACTATAGTCATGTTATAGTCATGTTACTGCTATTCTATCTGGAAAAAAAAAAAGACGACAACGAAGATTGTCTATTATTTACGAAAACAATCCAATCAACATCCACACAAAAAATCATAATTTGAATCTTGTTATTACAAGTCAACATGAAACGATAAAATGGAACATATTCGAATATGACTACAGTCATATTCAACAATAGTCATATTCGAATATAACTATAGTCATATTACTACCGTTCTTCAAATCTAAAATTGTAATACAGATCTGAAAAAGAAAAAAAAAATTCAAAAAATACAGAAATAAAACACATGCACAAAACAATATTTCACACACACATATATAGAACACACACACACACACACACACACATACATATATTTCACACACACATATACAGAACACACACGCATATACAGAACACACACACATATACAGAACACACACACACACACACACACACACACACACACACACACATATACAGAACACACACACACACACACACACACACACACACACACACACACACACACACACACACATATATACAGAACACACACACACACACATACAATATTTCACACACACATATACAGAACACACACACGCATATACAAAACACACACACACACACACACACACACACACACACACATACATTTCACACATATACACACAAACCCACATACAAAGTCGCAAGAGATCCAAAAATCTAAAAATCACAAGAGACAGATCTCAAGAAAAAAAAAACATAACATAGAAAGAGAGAGACAATATTTCACACACACATACAAAATACACACACACACACACAGACCTACATATCCATACAACATGAGTTTTTTGAGAGGTTTGACGGCGGAACCCTAGGCGGCGGCTGTGATCGGCGGTTAGGTAAGTGGATAATGGCGGTGGTGTGAAACGGAGAAGGAGGGCGGCGACGCCGGTGTAAATCTCGAAGGAGAACGGCGACGCCGGTGTAAATCTCGATGGATAGCGGCAGCAGTAATACAGATCTGCAAAGAAAAAAAAAAAAAAAAGAGAACAGAGAGAGTGAACGTGAGAGAAAGAGTGTGAACGTGTGAGGAATAAAATTAAAACCCTAACACATAGGGGCATTTTAGTCTTATCATATCTGATAAGGGGGGTCTCACTAATTTAGATTAGAATTTGGGTTATGGGAAAAGTCTTTAAACTCAATTGAGTTTAATTCAAAATATTTTTCAAATGAGGGGGGTATTGCATATTTCCCCTATATATATATATATATATATATATATATATATATATATATATATATATATATATATATATATATATATATATAGGGTCTTTCTAGGGTGAGATACTCCATGTTCTAAACTTATTTGAGATATGCATTAATCACCATTAATTTTCTAAGATTAAATCTGGACCCTAGGAAAATAACATGGTTTATGTTCTAAAAAATGAAGTACTTTACCAAATTATCCTTCGATTATTTTTTTATTAAATTAATATAAAATTGATTAACATTGAATTGTCTAATTTACCCCCTACTATATTTTAATTAAATAATTAATTTAAATTCATTGTGACCGAGTTTTATTTGATAAATAATCGAAAAAAATGCATTCATTAGGAATAGAACTCGTGACCTCTTAATATATTTATCACTCCTAACCATCCAACCACATTAACTTATTATGATATATTTAACCATAATTGTATAAATACTGTTAATTCAAATATTAATTGCAACATTCATTATTTTTAAATGGTATTAAATAAATTATTAACAAATTTAATAAAATAAAGTTTGAAAACTATAAAGAATTGCACTTCAATAGGCCAAACATCTATCATTAATTATATAATATTAGAAGTGTTAATAAACTCCACCATTTAAAAATGTAAAGAATGCTCAATTAAATATAAAAAAAATGCATAACTTAATTCAAACTCATTTATGTTATTTATTCGATAGTGTGACAAATCCAAATAAAAAATAAAATAATATATTTATTTAGAAGAAGAAAAAATTATAACTCATTCCAATTAGTAGTTTTCTTAGTTTAAAATAAAAGTATATACTACAAATACTATATTGTGAATTTTCTTTTAATATTTAATTTAATCAATTAGTAAGATTTGAATCGATGAAGTACAAATCCTTTCAATTAGTAAACATTATTCAAATATTTGAATCGGTTGCTTAACTATTGACATAACATGTTACATAATTGATTTAACTATTTATAAGTAATGTCTAATATCTTTTTAATTCAATTTTGTCATAAAAAATAATAAATTTAATTCCTAACACATGTAAGAACCTAATCGTAAATCATAATATTTTATCAAAGCGTAATATTTGAACCAATTAAGCTCAAGTCCTTTCAATTCGTAAACATTATTCAAATATTTGAATCGATTCATTAGCGCGCTCAACTATTGACAAGAACGTCTTAATCAAATTAACTATTATTAATTAAAGTGTGATACATGTTTAATTCAATTTTATCATAAAAAAATAATTCCTACATTACGCAAGAATCAAATCATAAGATTAATTAAAGCGTATGATTTGAATCAATTAAGCGCAAATCCTTTTAATTTGTAAATATTATTCAAAAATTTGAATCGATTAAGTTCAACCACTGACAAGAACGTATTAATCGAGTTAACTATTTATAATTAAAGTCTACTATCATTTTAAATCAATTTTAACAACAAAATAATAATTGAATTCGTAAAATCGTAAGAATTAGATCGTAAATCGTAAGATTTAATCTAACCATGAACCGATTAAATCTTACGATTTTTATGAATTAAATTTTATTATTTTTTATGATAAAATTCAATAAAAAAAGGTTACTAAACTTTAACTATACACAGATTGATTAATACGCTATTGTAAATTATTGAGTTTAACCGATTCAAATATTTGAATATTGTCTACGAATTGAAATGAGTTGAGCTTAATCGATCAAATCTTTGAATGTTGTTTTTGAATTGAAAACACATGAGTTTAATTGATTCAAATATTACGATTTAATTAAATCTTACAATTTACGATTCAATTCAAACTTCAAATTCTTTCGAAATTCATTTTTAAATTACACGAGTTGAACAACATTTCCTTAGATTTTTAAATTATATTATATAAAGATTTGTTAGTATGGGATATTTTTAATATATAATAATAATAATTATATGAGAATTAATAATTTATTTAACATTATTTATATAAGTTTTATAACCATTATAAATTGTAGTTTTGTGATATATATCCGTATTGTTAGTTTATTGTCAATTATGTGTTGTGTCTTAATGGTAAGTATTCTTGTATGTTTTCAGATGGTCACAAGTTCGAATTCAAGTTGATGCAATTTTGGATTGGTGGTTTAATGATTTTTACGAATAATGATATAATTTACGTTATAAATTTTAATTCAGCAATAAATATATATTTAAAATTGCATTAAAATAGAGAGGGTAAAATTGACATTTCATAATAATTTATAATTGCTGATTTTTTAAAATAATAATTGTAAAAAGGGTATTTGCGACAATACATAAATGGAGAAAAAATAGGTTTTTTTGGTGGGACACGTGTCGCAATTTAAAGGGGGTATCTCATAAAAGTTTAGAACACAGGATCTCACCCTAGAAAGACATATATATATATATATAATACAACCAAAACGCATGTGAGATCTAACGTCAGGCTATAAACATTTATTGTACACGTGGACTAAGTAATCATGCATGCTAGGAGGATGCGGGTGCTAATTTTATTCGGTTGCATGGCAAAGCAAATATTTGTATACCTGAACGAGGAATCAGATGCAGACAATACGAATTTCTTCAGCCAATCATCTTCTTTTTTCTTTTCTTGATAGTAATATCGTGGCTTTTAATTTAACCTGGATGAACCGCTCTGGAACAATAACGCATGTTTTGCCGTTTATATATGGGTTAATTCCAAATTTTCATTTATACTTTACTTTACTTGATATCACTTTACTTCATTCTACTCTCGATTGCATTGATTTGTCC